TTATTCATTAATGGATCACCACCAAAATTTGATCGATTTTTAGATAGGCAAAACCACCAAAATTTGATCAGTTCTAAGATTTTTGACCTATCCAGAAAATGTAATAACTTTTTGAATTCGACTGTTAGCCAAAAATCCAGCAAAGGCAAAAAAAGAACGCGAAAGTAATTAACTTGAGAGTAATTATAAAAATAATGTATCCGCACCCCTCGCGCAAGTATCTTATGCAAACGTAGCAATACTGACGGATTAGATAGAAGATAACATTATTTTTATATTGTCCAGGACGTTCCCATCCAACTGTACTGACTGTGTGAAAACGTGTATACATAAGTCTGGTTTTATTTATGATACTTTTACTATGAGCAATAAAAAGGTTGCCACCACGTGCACTACTATAGGTTGCCCCATCGGTGTAGTTTAATTCTGAATTCGCGAAGGACACCCCTTCCTGTTGCGGTTAAATAAATCTTCATCGATTTAAAACAGTATTGTTCTGGGTTGAATCCATGGCCTCGAGTTAATAATGTGCACTGATGCTCTCAGACAAACGCCGAATTTCAGAGGTCAGTGAGAATTCAACCCCTGTTATCAGCATGCTGATAATAAAGATGGGAGGCTCCAGTGACCCCTCAAAAGTCAGGGTGACCAGACGTGGCTTAGCGGTCAAATGAGGCCGATGACCAACCAATACATTTATCTCTCTCCCTTTATCTCTGGGCATTCATCGGCTCCTGAACGGTCAAGGTTATTTTTCCCACAGGTTGTATAGTTTATATCTTATTCAGCACATCGATTCCCGTGCGTTTTGTAATGACTTGAAATACCAATACCTGTTGGCGACCGCCTTCACTGCTGTGATTAATTTTTATGATACAGACAGTTTTCGTGGGCCCTCTCACATTTGATATAGTTTGTAGTTGTTCAAACCATTCAAACCATGCAGTGCACGTCAGACCTATATTTATAATAAAAACAGTTTTCATGGAAATTTCAACACTTTCTCTTCATCACTGAGGTACACTTTATTCACAACCGTTAACAAATTTACTATTTTCAAACACGGTTTTCATTTATAAGTTTCTATTATATTTTATATTGATTGAGAATGGTGAATGTCATAAAAATAATTTCTATTAAAGAAATCGAACACAGTTTTACTGACCATAACATTATTAACAGTTTTATAGGACGTATTTTGGTGATTATGGGACAATTATCGTAATTTCCTCTTTGTTTTATCAAATAAAGCTCTTACGTGCATCACATACTTTTAAGTACTAAATTGGCGGAGGAATCGAGTGCTTCGCGGTACCACCTAAGGTCAAAATATAGGTGCCGCAACTCCTTCCAGCAGCACAGCGGGTTATTTGAGCCAAGTTGCTAAAAAACGTCGAAGTCAGCCGAGGTGAACTATTAAAAGGAGACGCAAAATATCACACCCTTCCCGTTTTGATATTGACGTCAAAATACCTTACTTTACGATTTGGTGACGTACATGTTCTCGTAGGGACCTGCAAATCACACTGATGATAAAAGTTTTGAATTAATTCATGCTACAAAGAGGAGTATCTTTATAGATGTTAAATACTTAATGAGTGGAGAACTGCAGACTAATGATGTGCAGAAATGAATGAATGCAGTTCTAGTGTTCTGGTTAATTGTACATCAAGTTTGCTCAAAAATGTGTCTTATACTCAATTAATTGTAAGCATTAATAAAACAAAAAGTATATTTGGGGCAAAAACCATTTAAAAATGGATAGGTAATCGTAAACGAGACAAGCTCTCTCTCTCTCGCTCTCTCTCTCCACATGACCACAACTACATATAAAGAAACGTCCCATCAGAAACGAAGGTCAGCGTTCATCTTTTGTCCGAATCTCCAAGTGGAAAATGCTCTAAGTGTTAATCAGGGTCATGTTTCATGATATTTTAAGACTCTCGGGTTACCTCTGGCGTTGGTAAGCCCTCAAGGATGGAGGGCGCTCATGCTTTAAATATCTCAGCGTCCGATGGTTATTTCTACCTGTATTTTTCTACACTTGTTGCCAGTGCTAATTACATACAGGACTCACACTCTTAAGGCAGTCTAGAACTGATTATTGTCTTCTTATTTTTGATTATTTAATTTCATTCAACATCCTAATATCTCGGTAATTATTTCAGATTTACTTTAAATTATTTTAACTTCTAAATCATACATGTCTAATTTATTTTATTTTAAATTCGCTGTGACAAGAATCACTTATCACCTCCAAAGACCGAGGCATGCAGGGCTTTACAACATGTTACAATAAAAGATTCAACCAATCCACTAGCACGGCGACGCTGACACGTTTACTTTTTCTCATGCAGATAAATTTTTATGACAGATAAATCTATGGATGCAGATACTGGGGCTTACTCTTTCCCTACATTCCCCTAATGTTTTCTTATTGTTTCTCCAATCTTGACCTGAGACTAAACAACAAAAACATGAGTATCCTTTATCCACGCGTAAAATCAAAAAACGATGTTACTAATAAATGTACATTGTAATTTCAACATTGTGCTTAAACTACATGTAAGAGCGTAATGAACTGTTTTGACAAAATGTTTCTATCCACCAATTTTGCATCATTTATAGTAGAAATGATTGTATTTGATTTGATTGTGTTTCATGCTACGATTTCAAAGGTCGCAAAACATAGGGCAACAAAAACTTCAGTCGTATCAGTGGTTTACTTGGTGCTTGTATTATTAATCTTTATTTACTTTGATTGCGAAAAGCCCTTTGCTACGGCTAGTTAACAGAACAATCTCTTTCATTGAATCGATTATCTCTTTATGCATTCATCCATTTATGGGGGAGAGTTTAAGTTCAACTGTGTCTACAGTTTTTTTCTATACTTGATAGTTACATATATAGCTGCATATATTGAAAAACATCCGCCTATTAATTAAAACCACATTTAGTATTCGCACAGGTGTTATTCATTCATTTATCCATTTATGTATCCATTTGTGATTTGCTTTCTAATCCAATAATAAATTTTTGTAGAAATTTGGTAGGTTGCAATAATTCCGCATATTTCCGATCACAGAGAGAGAGAACATTGCCAATAGAAAAAGAATCAAGATAGGTTTGTTTATTTTACTGATAACTAATAATCTAAGTCCTGTTTGTTTCCTGTGACTATAGACTTATAACACACATTTCCTTATCGTCGGGTAAAAACCTAAATTTCCATATCCATAAACTTATCTTATTGTTGTGTTCAATTTTTTATTGTTGTGTTCAATTCTTTATTTAAAAAAATATCGCAACTGCCTTTCGTAGTAAGCAGTCTTTCATAGCTGTTTATGATACATATATCTCAGACACCGTTCCTGTCGTATATTGTGTTAGATTAAAGACTTAGAGGACAAATTACCTGTGCCTCTACAAACACTTTTTCTGTCCTCGCCATTTGCCGCGTTTATAGCTGTAAAACTTCATTTCTTGATAAGAAAGAGACGAAGTTAAATAGTGTAGCACACAGATGCTTGGAATAGCTTTATATATAGTTATGGTTTGCTATCAGGGCCACAAAAGCCAAAATGTATAAATCTGGAAAAGGTGTTGTGAATGGATGAATCAAGTGAAGTTGACATTGCGCGAAAGCGTGATCAAATCTACTCTTTCCTAGGGACATAGGAAAAGTGTTTACTAGGCATTTCAAGATATATCTCTGGCTATTCACCTAGTGTCCATATTTCTGTACTCACTCAGTTTCCCTCTGGAAGAGAATAACTTTAATCCGTACAACGGAGTATTCTGCGACATTGCACAACATGTAGCTCGTGTACTTTAAAGATTACCTCGTACGTGTTCCAGTAGAATGCGTAGTCACCTCAGTCCGTAACGTGACCGTTGAATATTCAGGTAATGGCCACAGAGAGAACTATACGTATGAGAAGAAATCCCAAGGAGACGTCATAAAATGCATAAGATTCTTTAAGTATGCGCCTAAGGTAAATTTATAGGTCCAGTTACCTCAGCCAACAAGTGGGGTAATTTTTTCATCGGCGTGGGATTGTGAACAGGTTAACTCAATAAGTTATTCACAAATAGTGATGAAGCTATCGGGATAGGTAGTCATTTGGGAGAAAAAGAAGTGAGAACGGTTTAAGAGAGAATCATTAGGAATCATTCTACATAAGTCAAAGTTTCGCAAGCCGGCGTAAAATCTAGTTTTTTTTTTTTTTTTTTTTTTTTGGGGGGGGGGTCATTAAGAATAGGGGCCCAGAAGTAGTGACAGACTAGCGAGTGCGATGCGGCAACAATTATAAACTGACGAAATTTATCCACGGATAATTTTCTAGTTGCTTTCTAATAAGTTCAGTCGAATTGCTGACCATCGCACAAAGGCATGATTCTCACATTTTCTCGTCACGTCACGCAGTGCATAAAAGCTTCATTTCAGACAATTTCTGGTGAGTTCTTAATATACTAAATTAACTCTATTCTTTGTTATTATAATTAGATAAATATATTTTGTCATGGGGGAAATATTCGCTTTGGAAATGCTCTCTTATTCGCATCGCGGGCCAAGTATTGCAGACTTCTCTCATCTCATTTTTCAAAAGAAAACCCATAATTCATCATAGATTATGTCGCGGTTTTTAGATTGTCAAAAAGAAGCGACCCAGGATGGGTCCACATCAGATGTTTAATATATATATGTTGTACTACTGGGTTAACACTGTGTCCGTTAGGTGTCATCTCATTATATCATACATACTATAAATGCTAACCTATTTCACCCGTCACATATCAAATTTAAAAAGATAGCAAGAGGTACTGAACAACCACCCACATAAATATAAACCAGTTAAGCGTCGTTTATATTTTCTCAAACATGATTACTCAACCCGTAAAATTATCTGCCTTACAGGTGAAAAGGGAGAAAAAAAACGTAAAGAAGCATAATTTACTGAAAGAGATTGGAAGAGACTTGTGCGGCATACAGTACGTACCGATAACAGGTGAAGCTCCTCTCTCTTGATAAACCACGAGAGCAATGTCCCTATAAACGGGAACCGCCTGGGACCGGGCAGATCGTCTACGGTCCGATAAGGTGAGCCCTGATGACCGCCTTCCTGGGGGACTGGGCCTCCTGTTGGTGCCTTATCGGTGGTGGATGTCGTTGAGTCCACTGTGGACAGGCACGCATGCCTCTGATGATACTCCAAGTAAAATTTCCGGAACAGTTTTCTCAATGGCATCCTGGCTGCATTTGTGTAATATTGCTGTTTGTTGTTTATGCACGCTATTGGTCAGCGGCGGTTTGGTTTGGAAATTCTACAACTTTTACTTGGTGGCTAGTTTGTGCGGAAATTCCTCATAGCGAGCCTTACGTATCGTTTACGTAGACCGTGCATTGTTCAGCCATAGCTCACAGCTTCTCCAAACTGGACTTGGCATTCGAGTGGGTGTTGCCTTTTATTTCTGGGCGAGGGCTTGCTTTTTCTTTTGCCAACTTCCAACTTCGCTGAATACTTGTAAACATACGTGGTGGGTAGCCAAAAATAAATCGCTTGGTCGAAATTCCTCACCCACGCTTATTGCATGTCATTTACGCAAATGGTGCAAAGCTCTAGAATACTCTGCGCTGGAAGCAGGCGCCTGAACATGCGTCAATGTCACTGTTCATTCTTGCCTTGAAATGCAAATGGCTTCATAACGTTTTATTTACCGTAAACAACTGGAAAGCCACCCACGCATCGTCAAGAAACCAGCAACGCCTTTCCGAGAAAAATGCATATTACTCTCATTCACAGAAAAAATAATTACCAGCCCAAGAAACTAGGATTTATTGTAAAACTCTATCCTTACTATCCTTACAAAGAAGACCTCGCAGTAGTTTTTTTTCTTTGCGAAACAAAATCGAGCTCATCAATAGAAATGCTTACCTCCCTTCTTCAACGTGGCTTCGATCAAAACGGCACGTGTATCTATTTCCATACTTTGTGCATAAATAGCTACCCCATTTCTTTGCATTTTTCCTCGTTCGGCGAAATGCTTTTCTTGTCCAGTGTATCCCCAAGCAGGTTTATGTGTATATATAACCAAAACCTTGTTAAATGTATATCGCTTATGTAAATCACCGGAAGTGTAAACGCATTCAGCACAGGGCGAGGGTGCACATTACACCAAGTCTACCATGACGGTCAAATAGCATCACCGTTCTCTTCTAGGTCTTCATTTACCACGTTTGTTTTGCTCATTTAATCCGCGTTTACTTATATTTGGTTCTGTGTCGTAGTAAATAGCCACAGGCCGAGGGCGTGCATTAAGTATGTCACACGCTATCCATTCTGTTCATCTTCAGAGGTCACGCAGGGGCCCGGGGCATGCGTACAATGACCTCATTTAACAGCTCCACAGCGCGCGCAGCGGAGGCGTGACGTTCAAAAAACTGAACCCCTAGGTAATGACAGTGAACAATTTAAGGCGGAATTTACTAGAAGTGATCACCGTTCGTGACATTACCTGATACTCAGCGTCTTGCGTAGGCCTACAGTATGTTTACAATTTTATGTGCATTGGAAATATGCCACATGATGATTGAAATTATCTCTGTTTAATATCAAACACGTTCAAATATAAAAAATAACTGAAACGGAATAGTACGCACATTGCACTAGTGGTCAGGTTGTTTGTCAAATCGTGTTAACACACTTTTTGACGGTGTAATGACCGACTGTAAACATACCTTATGAACATGATATGCACGGCTTTGGTATGTAGGCCTACACCTTCCTCGAGCTCAGGTGACTAATGACTGCCGCCGAGCAGCTTGACAAATACAACTAGTGAAAAGAAATGTTAATATCACGCTGACCTTTGACTTCAAATTCTCAGACAGGGTCAGGTATGATTTAACAAAATTTCACATAATAATACTACATAATCTCACACACACACATATATATATATATATATAAACATACTGGTTCTGACTGAGTACCGTTTTTGTCATCTCCTGGTTGTTCTACCAGACTGCTGTAGGATTCTTGCTGTTGATAATGACATATTTTCAATCGTAATATGAGGCAACATCACGTAATTTCAATGTAATGTGAGAACGTACGTGACTCTGCTCATGAAAAAGTAATTAGGTAGTCCGAGTGGCACTGAAGACGAATAAAATGATTGATTATAAATAAATGAATAAATAGTTGAGAGGGAGAGAGAGAGGGAGAAAGAGAGATACAGAGAAGTACAGAGTAGTACATTTATATGCCATCTTTTTTTAAGAAATTACCAACCCCTATAAAAAGTCGGCACTTTATATTGGTTTCTGAATTAACCTCCACGGGAATATTAAATCTGTTGAGACAACCAAACTGAAATTTATCAAAGCTACAACTTATCATTCGATACGAGAGACTAAATCGTGAAGTTACAAAGAGTGATATGGTATTAAACTGCAACGGATTTTGATTTATCCAAAATTAAAATCGAACAATTAAATCAAAGTTTGGTCCCATGTGTGGCAGTAAATGTGTATGTACCAGGTACATCAATGAATATATATGTGTAAAATTATAACGATAAATGAATGAATGGATAACTGATTTATTAATTAACTGATAAACCATGACAAAGGCGAAGTGTCATGTTTGACGAGAATTCTATGTGGTGGTGATGGAATTTTGAATGTGTGATTTATTATTTCACTGAATATATATATATATATATATATAAACAGACAAGATATTTTATATACATGCCAACACAATTAATCAGTTTATGGACTAAAATTATTAATTTTGATAACAGCGTCTTATTAAGATAAGCTTATCTATATGATTTGCAGAATTACTATCTTCCAAGCACACCCGATGTACGCAACTTTAACCATGGACACTTATCATAGTGTGACGACGTGAAAATATTTTGTGTGAAAATGGTTTTGAAGACATCTGGTTATTAACACAAAAGGCAGAGAAAAAATTCGCACAGGTATCTAAAGGGGTAGCAACTGTTCATTGTGACAAAAAAAAAATGGATTTTTCTGGGATAAACGACAATTTTCCCATACTTATCAATGCTTGTTGAATCCGTTCCAGCATTCAAAGTTAGTCCCTGTTTTTTTTCAAAAAGTTTTTTTTTTGTGATAATCTCTGAAAAGATTGTCAGAGGGGATAGCCATCTATGGAAGTCATGTGGTCTGATGGCAAGCACAGATTCCAGAATAATTGCGATAACTGCCGTTTTGGTGGTAAAATAGAAACTATTATATTTCTGTGAGTTGTTTACAATGTTTTTTTTTTTTTTTGTGAAATATGGATCTCATATGGAGAGCTGTTATCCCTTTAAGAGATGTCTAATTGTAAGCTATGTAAAGTTGGCACAATGGCATAATGGCATAAGCTTTAGAAATGCTTAACTGATCATGAGGATGTATTGCCATTTTTAAACAAGTTCAACAAAGAAATCTGCCTTGATGCCTTAATCCTAATCATACCAGCATATTTCGCAACACATTCCTACTGGGTGGGGTCGCTAAAGACCCCATATCAAATACCGACATTTTTTGTATAAACACAAAAGAAGTTTTTTGGTAGATAAATCAACGTTATAATACATATTGCTGGTGAGCTGCAATACTATTCTTTGCCGAGGTAATTTCAAGGTAATTTGATTACACAAATTGGCTTAAAGAAGTAATGTATACATTTTTTCAAATTAATTTTTTCTTTGTTTCTAGCCCTAGTTTTAATAAAATGTCTAACAAACTATCACTGTGTATCATTCCAATGTTTTTGCTTTTTCGAATGGCATCAAAGAATTTATTTATGATCAGTGATAATTGCCGAGGTATAGCATTTAAAAAATACATTCATTTATCGACCATTTATCTCTCAAAAGTTAATTTAAATTCCAAACTTTACCTTCTTAATATGAAAACTGGAGGAAAGCGCCTGAAGGAATCACAGATAAAGTAACGAGACAGGGTAAGGATGCAAGCAAATGAAAATGATAAACGAAATAAAAAAAAGGCGATGAAAAAAGAAAATCTGTTGATCATACGAGTACGGTGGAAACAAGAGAAGATGCGAGGAAGTTATATAAAGGTTATCAATAACAAAACTGCTTTATTTTGGTTTAAAAAACTTACCAATCGTCCTTTTTGTTCTTCTTGTATTATGTGATGTAGAGCATAGTAACATTTTCGTTCAATCCTCGAAAGACTTTTATTGTTGGTTGTTCGATATTTGGCCAAACAAGGCCGCATTTATTATAACAATGTATTTATTATAACACTATACTAACAATGTAACATAAATACTGTAGCAACTTGAACAGTTAGCCTGTAGTCATATTTTTAAAACCATTCTCTCTGATTCCGATACATGTCGGCTTTCTTTTTACTAATTATTGGCATTATAAATTCAATTTATACACAAACATGCAGTGTAGAGAACTTGTTTATGTACCAACGCATTATTATGAACTTTGAATAATAATAATAATAATAATAATAATAATAATTCTTAGTACTACTATTATTACTATTACTGCCGCAGAAGTGTGTTTGGATCCAACGAAGTATAAACTCTTCTTTTCTGTTAAGGAGAAGCACCCTGGGCATGGCATTGTATTCCTAACCAGGTCATTCCTTTCCTCTCCTCTGTTGAATAATGCCGTCATGAGGTTGCCAGATAATCTAGGCCATAGATTTCAACTTTGTTCATCTGATTTCCAGCTAGCAGGAAAAATATCCAGTTGTCTAATAAAAAAAAACAATTTACATCGAAACATGGATGTAACAGAGTCCTATATGAGTCTACATTCGAATAAAATTATCACAGAAAATAATCAGTAAGAGGCGTTGTCAAACCACTCCCCTTGCTAAGAATAAAACCTGTAATTGTGATAAAAAAAGATTTGAACTAAAACGTGAGCAGATAACTCCCCCCCCCCCCCCCCCCGTCTTGTGGCTACGGGATAACCCAGCGCACGTAGAAAACGCTTGTGTGTGCCAGGTTACATACATAGAATCTTTTTGTGTGGTTTAGAATCGGCACATTTCTAAAAATCATCATTTAAAGTACAAAAATATTGTTTTGTTACTGCATATTTTTAATGAATTATTATCAATGAACCTAAAAAATAATAAATAGATAAATAAGTAATGATATAAAGTATATACAATTTCATGAATTATTAAAACCATTTTAGGCAGAAAACCCCTTTCAGTACCCTGTTTCATGTAGCCATTATAAATGTCCATTCCATCACTTTGGAGAATTTGGACCTGGTGGACACTACCAGAAAATTAATATGAACACCTTATTTCAGCTACTTGTGGTCTAAACAAGTTTTTTTGCATTATTTGTTCACGATTTATGACAGAGTTGTAAGATTACTCCGTCGCATTTTGCTATTCCAAACTTCCTTTTGTTGCTGGAAGGGGGGAAGGGGTCATTTGGGTCGAGATAACCTGGTATTAATATTCAGTATACATTCAGGATTTTTGTAATAAATTCCATCGTTAAACACACAAATGATAAAATAAGATAATGAGTATTACCGCTGTAAAGTACTGACCTATAGGTACAGCATCTAGGCCATTGAGTATACACATAAAACGTTGGAACCACCGGGAAACAATTGCTGAAGCCACGTGATTTCATCGCGCATTCTGAACACTCAGTGCCACTGCAGTTTTGAGTCTTGATTAAGTTTCAATAGGCCATTTTTTTTATAAACAAAAAAAATATGAACATAAATACGTAAGCCGTACAGGTAATTAGGAAAGTATTTATTAAATATCAAAACTATTTTCTTTGCTCATGTTCACGATATAAAAGACATGCAACAAATTCATACAATTGTAAATAATATAATTATTTCGTTTTATTCTATTTTTCAGACTCACCTGATCCTTCAACAAATAAGGCAAGAGGGAACATATAAAAGTCCTGAACCTGAGAAAGCAGGTACTTAAAAAAGGAACCATGCCCCGTGTCTTTGATGTCATACTTGAACCATGCAGACGTTTGAATAATAACCAATGCCTTAAGCATATGTCTACACCGAGTGACATTAAAATGTTGAAAAATAGAAGAAAAAACTGATGCTAGTTACACAGTTAAATGTAAGGTAGTTTACGTAGACATCCTGTCTTATTATAAAGTAATGGGAGCAGATATTTTAATGCGTTTACACTTGGACACGGCTCAACAATCATCACTTTCCTTTGCAGTTCAATGTTTTTCCTTGAAACAAAACAAGCTTTCCATAGCCTCATAATTGCTTGTTGCTTGTTGCTGTAGTAGCTAGAAAAATTGATTATGAGTTCATTTTGTAAAAATCGGGAAAATAAAAATACTCACGATTGACAGATTTCGTATTTTTATTTTAAAAATAGAAAATCATTTATGATTTTTATAAATCAGAAGCGTACAGATATATAGGTTTCATACAGTATGTTAGTTTTGAATTTTTGAAAACGCGAAAATTTGTAGCTAGTCTACAGCCCGTTGTGGTGCCTTTAAAGATATCAGGTTACTGAGGTGTGTGAGGTGTGTTGTCCTTACCATTTACCATCCAAACTAGAAGGAGTTTATTTAAAAAAATCAATGGAAACAATGTACAAACGTTTCTGAAAGTAGTTGCCTTTGAAACAGATTTCAGTAACTATGTGTATATCCAATACTTACAGACATTCCCTGTAATTTATTTATTTATTTATTTATTTATTTATTATTATTATTTTTTTTTTTGAAACCATATTAAATATTTATAAGAATCGGTTACACTTGGACACACGACTTTGACAGAAGTTTATTTGAAAAATGTGGCAATAAAGCACATTCGTCCAAGAGAGTTGGGAACTGTGAAGCCGATTTTAAACCATATCCATGTATATATTATGCTTACAAACATTTCTTTTGAATGTTATTTATGTAGTTATCGAAACCATTTCTGGTAACAAAACAAGAACAGCGGAATAAAAGATACATAGTGCACATTGAAAATGCACGAAAAAATGTGCCATTGTTAGTACAACTGAATAATGTTGATGCTTAAAAAAGGATATGTGACTATGTAATGTGAATAAAAACACGAACAAAACTGACAATTGTGCATCCTGAGAGAAGGGGGGGGTAACATTAGGAATGTATTCTGATTAAAACCACTTGAAAATAAATTAAATGATTGAATAAAGTGGGTTCAGTATATGTACCCCAACAAGTCTCGGGAAGTGATTTGATGAAAATCCTCCCTCATACATGTCACTCTCTCTGATTAGGCAAACCAGTATTGAAATTAGATAACGATCGCTTGATTGAGGAGGCTGGTGATAACAAAGACGCACAGTAACATATTTTCAGCGATCGAAACGAGATAAGAAAAGTTGTTCTTGCATGATAACTTACAATAGTCAGCGCAGAATGTGAAGGGTCCTGTTCCAACTCTAAACGAGTTTTTTTTTGTCTCCAGAAACGGCCATTACAGTCATAGTGCAAATTGTCTATTTTTGGCCTTTCCTGTTTGAACAAACCACTTTTGATAAATACATTTTATGAATTGTGCAAGTGGTAGTTGACATAGTTAAAACGCCTTAGATTTCACTGCATTATTCGGTTACTACACTGTATTATCTCTGCGACAAAAATTAAAGTAAAAGCTGACACTTTTAAAATGGCTGGATGACCTAAAAAGTGGCTTAGTCGTTCCCTCACAGAAGTGATTACTAAGTGATACTATTTGAAAAGTTTGCATTAGAAATCTAAAAAATCCTCATGTCTCCGAAACGAATGGGCAAAACGCATGTTGATAAATCATTTTTAGGTTCTGAACATTAGGTTATTTCAAAGTACGCAGATTTTTACGCAGCTTCTAATGAAGGACAATTGTTTATTTTCCATATATCTTAAATAGTGGTCAACCATTTCAGTTTTTTCATTTACCATTGTTTCAATACAAAAGCGAAGAAGCTGATCATTAAGCGTTTTTCAACTGCTTTCTGGTGAGTGACGCGTTTGCAGTTTAGGCTGACTTTGAGAAATTGCTTCATACAATACCAGATGGAACTAGGGTTCGCAATTTTTCCAAGGTTCTTTCCCAAAGTTAAAGATTATAGCACGCCCACGCATTTAAGACGCTAATTTTTACCAGGTGTCACGAAAGAGTACTGCCAGGCACGATTAAACATACATAACCTTGGCCTATTGTTCATTGGGGGAGAATAATCGATCTAATCACTGTGGGCGGTGCGCCATTAATTTCAGTTTAACCATTAATTTCAGTTCTAACCAACGGAATTTCGATGTACATTACAGCGCTGCACTGAATATACTTGGGCGTGGAAAGATTTTCGTTGCATGTTTTTCTTGTTTGTCTTCTTGCGCTAGAACATATCAACCCTAGATGAATAGTTAAACAGTCTATGCTAGTGCATTCTCTGTTTTTCATAAAGCGTAGGCATTGTGCACGGCATCGACATACGGGACACGCCTTTAAACGTGCGTTTTCGCAGGTGTTAAGCTGTTCAAGTAGTTTTATAAAATGCCAACATTAGTATTGAGAGGCCAAATAACATTCTGCCCTAGTAAGTGCAACATCGGGATTGATGTGCTTTGTCTCGCGATTGTTTTTCAAGGGTGTGGTAGCAACGAGGGCATAATAAAACCTTTGAAATGAACTTTGGTCTACATTTTGATACATTTCCCGTTTAGCCGTTGTCCACTTAACATTTTTCATTCATTTGAAAACCCGTCCAATGTAGTTCCGCAATTGCGAGCAACATTTTCTGGAGTACCTGGCTGGGCCCTTTGGATTGGCCATGTTTGGCTCCCAAAGAACTGGGATGACAACTCTAACCTCTAAAACAAGCTCAAACAGGACATCTACCAGTCTATCATCCGTCGGCATCCCTCGCTATTGGCTCCATGAGTGATATGTAGATGTAGTGGGTATTATAAAATGCTATCTAAATGTCGTGTACAGAAAATATTAAAGATATATAATGGAATCAATCAAAGCATTAGATTTATTTTGATACCATTTAGAAACAAACGCGTGCTCTCTTTGTTCTCAAAAGATCACAGTGCAGGAATGGGATTAATTTGCAAAAGGGTACCATTGGCGTTTTGGTCGTTATGGCGTATATGGTCATTCTTAGAAATCGTTTGTTTCTATCACACATTTTTATACCTTATCAAAATGAGCTACAAACTATGCAGGCAAACAAACATGTATGTCATCACAAAAGGAAGTGGAATGGACACGACATGTGGTAGCAACAGACATGGCTTTGAGGCATTTTCATTTTTAAATAAACCCAAGTGCACTTTTGAGATAGCTACGTTCAAATTATATCTGCTTTGATACTCATGATACTACATGTATTATACATAATTTTGGTATAGCGGGCTTCAGTGAGTTTTGAATTAAAAACTAACATAACAAATATAATTGCAAAGAAATTTTTTATAAATAGATTTGTAAAAAGTCAATACTATGGCGATTTGTCGTAAAGGATGTGTTCAAGCTTATTTTGTCGCTCCAATAAATAAAATATGCTTATCCACATTTCAAACTATGTATGTCTTGACGTAATATTATTCCGGTGATAATGTATATATAAGAAACAGCATTATTAACAGTCAGTTTGTCAGTCAAAGCAAACCTAATAACATAACTTATATACATAAAAACTGACAAAATATCACGATTGCCTGGTTTGCATAGAAAATAGAATAAGAAACAACACTAACACTGACAGATAATATTTTCCAAGAGGTTCCTGAGGATTACAACTATTTGCTGCTGGACAGTCACCAGGTGACTTTTGATTGGCTACCTTGATTGCGTATACCATGGCCCCCATTGGCCAACCTGAAATACATGAATGTAGTCTAAGTATTAGTTGTTTTATAAAACGAGACTAGGAAATTGAAATGACTGTATTATTTTTGCTCATGGCAATAACTTTGGAATCTCTACGTCAGAAGCTAATAATATTTATATTCAAGATATTGAAAATCACTAGTTAACTGTCACACTATGACGACAAATATTTTACTATTGTAAAAAAAAAACGCCATGAACGCTTAATTTTGCTGAATCAATAGTCTGTTTCTTAGGTGTGTTAGTAATAATCCTTATGAGAAATTTGGTCTCGTGTATATTTGGTACTTCTATCTCAGAGGCATGGTTATGTTAATTACCTATAAACTGCCTATCGATGTAATCGTCCACTATAACTTGTGCCCTGTTGGGATCAAATCCGAAAGATTCTTCCAGCAGCATCGAGAAGTACAGTCCTTCCAAACAGAAGGTCGACACCTCAGACGTGGAGGCGCCCGTCATATTCATGGCAAGAGGTATGCTCTGAAAAAGGAAAGTATTATAAAACAGTACCAAGGATGAAAGTTGTAAAAGCTGAAAAATCCTGAAAATATAGCTTGCAATTTAGACCATATGCAAAAATCGATCAAAAACATACTGAAAATCCTGAAAAGTTTCACTCAAGCAGTACCAGCTTTATTAAAAAACAATATATATATATAGCAAACAGTACCATATGGCGAGATGTTCAGGTGGATGAAGGCAACAGGGATAAGGATGCAACTGAACTAATAATGCTATCAGAAATGAAGGTCTGCTCATTTCACTGAAGAAGTATTGTACACATACGATATTCAGAAAATTATGTGTACTGATAGTATTTTAAGATTAATTTTTTGTGCCTCCTTGTCTTTTAACTTTGATCACTTTGTTGATTTTGAAACATCCAGAATTTTCCTACTTATGATTACTCTGACCCTAACAGAAACCCAAAAGTCTACCAATTGGCTGCCAAATAAATAAAACAAAGACTCCTTTTTTGCAGGAGTTAGCGCAGTGTTTTACGAGGACAGCGTAGAGCGAGCCCCTTTTGTATAAAGTAAAAAAGATACTGCAAATGCCAGCTGCATGTATCTGTGCATGTGATTGTTATAATAATTTAAAAGTCATTAAACTTGTGTGTGCGTTGTACCTGCTTCCGGTCACGCCAACTCACATTTACGGATGGTAACACACATGAGTTTCTTTTATCATAGATAAACTCTTTAGCATATTTTGTAAGGTTGCTTACGCACGTAAATATGGATGGCAAAGATATTTTAACGACAATAAGTTAGAGAAACTTCGCCACAGAGACCAGCTCTACCCTCTGCTCCAACAGACCTCGTTTACAAGAAAAACGACTCCTGTTGGTGAATATTTTTTCGTCTTAATTAATTAGACGTAACGTGACTATACCGACAATGTCCTTCTATTGTGTTATGCATAATCTAACTGTATCTCTCTTAAAAAAAATCAAGTTATCATTCTAACTCTGGAAACGGCCCTGGTGTTGGGAGCGAGCCTCTCTCATTCTCGTTGCAAGCAAGAATAGATGGCAGGCGTAAGCTGAAAATCCTACATATTCACATCTTAGTTCACCTTATTTCATGGATTTGTAGTTTGACACCCAAATCCATCACTTAGACCTTTCAACCCACATCACTCTTAGTCGTTTATCCCAATGTTAACCAGATGCTGGATGGGCCTCGGTCCCCTTTTCCAAGGAGAACAGGGCGATCTATCCCTTCTCCACAGCTCCGCAAGAATGAAAGCACCACACCAAGAGAGCATTCACATCGAGAAGAGCCGAGGTCTAGCAAGGCCCAGACCTAAATATGGCGGACCTACATGAAAGGAAGACCGCATAATCCTTTAATGGTTTCTCAGTGACATTCATTGAGATTCATTGAGAGACCATCACAGGGTTACGCGGCCTTCCTTTCATGTAGGTCCGCCATATTTAGGTCTCGGCCTTGCTAGACCTCGGCTCTTCTCGATCTTCTCTAAAATCCGTCTTCTGTTCATTTTTCACTTTCCAGTAATGACAAGAAGTAAACCAGAGAAATAAATTTCAAAAAATGATGGAAATCATAAAGAGTGTAGGCTTTTAGGTAGTTGACTCTTTAATAGTATAATTATGAGGTTAAATTTTTTACGGTAACAACAGCCGAGAAAACTATTCTGTTCAATTTATGGTGTGCATCGGACATTGGTTTTCAAAATAATCACCCATAATCTTTACCTTTTCACAATACGTTAAAGCAGCATTCTGTAAGTTCCTGGCGGTAATGGAGCCATTCGCTGAAATCACATTTAGTGCCGTTGGAGCGTCAACAAACGCTGCAATTGCGTAAAAGACCATATCTCTTGGAACTTTAGGTTGGTAAATTTGGCCAATGGCGCAGGGTCGAGGATAGCACCTATCATCTGCGGCTGGCGCTGTGTAATGGCGCAGCACTTCCATGCACGCGGTTCCATTGCCTGAGCCTTGGAATTGGAAGTACCCGGCTCTACTGTTTACGGTCGTGTTCAATAAGTCACCTAAAAAGGACGAAAATGTAGACGGATGTAGAAAGTACATTTAAATAATGTCCTATTAAAGATGTGGAGCTTATTTATTTTTACCTGGATAGATGTATCAGTGAATTTTGCAAGGATTCATCGGACAACATAAGAATCATTAATACAAAACAAAGATATCTTCAAAAAAAAAACAAAAAAAAAAAAAATCAAACTATTTATATGGCGACCAAACGCGACACAAATTGAACAATGACGCAAAGATGGCTATTATGAAAAAGGTATTCACTTGTAAGTATTTGATTATTTCCATGGATTTCTTTGGTTTGCTCATGTAGCAGATATTGTGAATAGATTGGGCTGAAATACAAAAGTAGTTGTTTCACTGGGAACGAAACTTGGAAGTAAAATTGGGTGAATAAGTGTTCTGTGAAGATGAGCCGGTCCGCCATCACAGCTCCCATCCATCACTGAAATCACTTGTTTCAGGGGATAAAGTTAAACTACTGGAAACATCCCGCATACTGCCCCGGGTACTAAAACCTTTGTACCTGTCTACGTAATTAACAGCCGTTATCTCAATATTTTCCAGACACTGTGAAATAAAACAAAAAATTTTTAGTAAAATGATCTAGTAAAAACAGGATGTTTATCAACCATGACACACACACGCCCCTATGTTTCTGTCACGCATTTTCCTGTTTTTATCATCACCTACAAATTTCAACTGACATTGCGACTAGTTTTCTTCCCGTGGATTATTCTTAAAAGGTCGTTTACCTCTTACGCGTGTATGTTTTTCAAGGCACATCACTTATGTCATCGGCTGCTTATCCTGAAAAGCATTACAGTTTATTAAGTTGTCGGTATGTTTTTTAAAGAGTTTGTTATGGCGGTGATGTGATAGCCTGTGAAGCGACCTTCAAGTCTCTGTGATGGGGATATAGGCCTTATAAACGACTTTGGTGTTTCAGATTTTTGAACAAAATCCCAAAATTAACGACTCCCAGTATCCCAGTGTGAAATTAGTTGCCACAAGCCCAGCGTTTGATAACATAAACCGTTTATCCGCTTATCTACCCGTTCTGTGCGTTCCGTATAAGTCGGAGATTGTCGAGATTGCATCGCTGCCGAAATTATACGCTGTATGTTTGATAAAAAGAACCCGTAAGGGGGGGGCCTGTTTGGGTTATCAAACGCTGGGTTTGTGGCAACTAATTTTACGTTGGAGTACTTAATTCGTGGCTGGGGTCGTTAACTTAGAAGGAGTCCTTAATTCGTGCTCCAAAATGTAAGGCTCGTATTAGCAAACGACAATTATCGTTCATATGAGGCCTGGGATAGAGGATAAAAGAACGTCGGTATAAGACCGACTTGCGTATGCCTTTGGGGGAGATGAAGTTGGAGAAGGAGAAGCGCAGGTGAACAAACTCTCTTTGGTGCTTTAAGGTCAGAATACTAAGACCCCCTTCCCATAGATTTTAGATCGATCTATCCCTGTGGGTAGTCTCACTAGATTACTGTCAGGTTAGCCGGCTTAAGCGTCTGTCCCGTCTACTAAAAGCTGTAAGGGGGTAATTAACTATGGTGCGCGCTCGGCTGACTGCAATTTAGCGTGAACCTCCAGGGAGTTAGGTCGATCTAAATCTAAATCTCTGGATCGATCTAAATCTCTGGGAATGCACCCTTAGACCTTCAACCACCATCACTTCCCAGTACCAAGACCGAAACTTATATTCCCTCCATCTGGCTTGTAGATCAAATACTGAATCTCATAGACAAAGATTGCGCTTATTCATGCATTCGACAACTGAATTGTTACCTTTTAACATGCAGGGGTTCATTATCCTGCCCCCTTGGTTCGTTGATGACGATGCCAGAAACTCCCTGACGCGCATTGCAATGTAATTTTCACCATAGTACAAGTAACTGTGTGTGTACAGGGGATAGCTCTGTGAGTCTCCAGGTATATCAACTTCGAATTTGTTCGCTAGGGGATCTGTCTCGGGAATGAAGGCAATTTGCATAGAGGCCCCGCCCATCTCCATGGTACCCACAGATGAGGAAAAGGGGCTGAAAGAGAATATATTTCGGATTAACGTACCGGCGTAGCAGATATTGTGAATATAATTAAACCAATCATGATGAATATATACATTTGCAGCAGTGTGATAATAAATGAAAGCCATCTTCACAAATGTCATAAGATAGATATGAATGACAATTAACCTGTCAAAATGGTAAGGATAATAATGTAAGAAAACTACATACCAGACTTGACAGATATAGTTGAATGGACATAGTTTAGAGATGGTTTTTATTTTGAGAAGGGCATACATTTTACACCTGCCTAATTGATAATCTTTGATAAGCATAAACCGGCGTTGTATCGCCTAATAGTCCAGATATACCAGTACTAAAATCATGCAGAATGCAAGGTTATGATTTGTTATCCATTTTTGTGCAAAAGGGAGAAGAAATAGCTACTTGTTATTCCACTTTGCATTAATTAACATAAACATAAACCCGAAGTTTATGTAATTTAGAGTGGTACATTGATGACTACAAGACTTATCTAAAAGCAAATAAATAATTAAATAGGCCTAAATAACTAGTGAGACCGGTGGTTGAGTTTGCTTAAAAATAAATGAATGAATAAATAAATAAATAGTGAGACCGGTAGTAGAGATTGTGCCATGATTGCAGCTGTTGCGACAAGCCCAATCCCACTCAACAACCATGAATGCAGTGCCATTTTAAGCAAACAACGTCTGTTTCTTTTCTATTTGTAGAAAAAAATAATGATTCCTCCATTTTGTTACATTGCTACTTATTTTTTCCTTTATCGTTTTCGTAAATGTTGCAGCATCTGTAATGGAATGTGCGCTTTGCATGGTTTTCAAATATATTTCACGTTAAACTGCTGTTATTTCTTACCTGTTTTTCCCAAAATATTTAATGAGGTAGTTGGCGCTGATCCACGTGAACATACCCTCCTCTTCCCCCGACAAGATTCGGGCGTCTCCTGCCGAAAACTGGAACGGACACAGGGTTTTGTTGCTGAGAATTTTTCGAGCTTCGTCAAAAATAGCTTCACCTTTAACTGGGTCGATGAGGCGAAGACCTGTAAGAGAAATCTTCGAAAAATCGGTGGTCTTAAAATGTCATATCCAGATTTTCATTACCTATATTACCTTTATTACTTTTAATAAAATATCTTTATTAGTTTCGGAAAAGTCATATTATGTAATTCTTTAACAGCATACTTATTTGTTATTACATTTCTATTGTCATTTCCATCTACCCAGGTAAATGCATACGTTACAATGAATAAAGCTAAAAAGTATATTCGGCAGGGTTTCTTTTTTACTATTTAGAATGTATGCGGGTTTTGAACGATTTTGTGGGATCAGGGCCCCGTAACACGAAAGCATCGCGCATTGTGACCGAGCGCAAGAGTCCCGATTCCATAACCCCCATATTATAGGGCGAGTTTGGACGAGTTATGGAACGCAATGCGCGATGCTTTCGAGTTACGAGGCCCAGGCGGCTTGCAGAAGACAACTGTCTCGAAGTAAACGCTTTTATGCATTTTAGTATCTTGAATGCGACAGTTGAGAGAGAAAATTAAACGCAATGAAACCTTTCAGATTGGGACAACAGCAAGCAAATTTCAATGCTGCCACCTATTTCCCTTCATGAGTACTGTACCACTAGACCCATGGACTTTTCAATGGCAATTCTCCGTCTATTTCTATTATATTTCTATTGTTACATTTAATACGATGGAACATTGGATATACTCATTCTTGGGATAATAATGTTGGAACCAATGAAACTCTTTCTTAAGGATAAACATTTGGCTGATTTTCTGGTGGATATTGATCTGTGTAGTCATATAGTAAATTTATAATAGTGAAGTTTTAAAACTGTTAAATTTCTACGTTGTGATTGAAAGCATACCTGTAAGAGCTTTCCTTCTAACATTAGGACTAGCCAGTGTGGCTGACGAAGTCCCAAGGTTAGGACGAAAGCTCTTACAGGTTGCTCTCCATCACAACACAGAAATTGAACAGTCTTAAAACTTCACTATTGTGAATATTTTGCAGATTTCGAATTAAAAACAAAATGCTCTAGAGGAAGAGAAAGAGCAATGAGATTTATATTACCAGAACCAGCTTTTTAGAGTTCATATATATGGATTGCGACCAGAAGACACCCTGGGTTTCACCTCTTTACTTTCAGCATTCCTCAGCCATTTCCAAGATATGCGTATGCTTATATCGGAGAGAGGTCAGTTTTCAGGGTACTCAGGGCATGAAACCAGATCAAAAAGATATGATCGATAGCTTATTATCGGGCTGGCCATCTATGGTTTTCCCTGTGAAGTACGCGCCTTGTTCTCTAACTGACACATAAAGCTAATGGAGATGAGCTGCTGATCGAAACAGATTTTGTAATTATCGTGTTTGAGATATTTCCGCCCTCAATTTTCATTTCAGTTCCACACAAAATCGCCTGTGCCTACGTTTCCAAACAGTTCATTTTAGGTCGGATAATTGCCGTTTGAGGCCATTACACAAGAATATAAGTTCACATGTTTTTCACATGACGTATCTGAACAACAGAACGCTCATCAATTGCCTAAACACTCCCCCTCCCCCCCCCCCTCCCTCGTTATTTTAAGAATAATTCGATAAAGATAATATCTTTTAATGTGGTCGGTCGCCTGCAGTCACGGATGTGACTCTGTTATGAGAAAATGTGGCTCTGGGGTTGGAGAAGGGGAGGGGAGATCCTAAAACAAAGATTGTGATAATTAGGCTTAAAATCGCAGGCAAAAAGAAAACATATAGAAATTATTATGACTTTGATTGTAATCAACATGGTATCACATAGTTCATGAAAAAGTGCACTATTATTAATGACCCTGTTCTTATTTTTAAGTTCTTGCTAATTCCGCAATATTACCTATTCACCGGAGTCTATTCTTTACTTATTTAAAGCAGTAAAAGTCGACTTCAATAAGCAATATCGGTAATCGCAAGCATTAAAAAGGCCATATGTGAAAATCACGTTCGAAATTTATGGCAAAGTCGATGAAACGCCCGATAAATTGAACATTACGAAATAAAAGCCAAGCTTGAGCGGTTTTCTGGGAGCGTTTTAACAGACGCGAGAAAGATTTATTGAGCAAACATGCATCCTTAAGATGCAATCTTACAGGGCATTGGTTTCACCCACAGAAGATAAATTAGCCTTCATATTTGAGCAAATACGAAAACTTTAACCTGGTGGCAAACTCTAATAATTCCTTGGCGTCTTTTTCTCTGTCACAAGAATGAAATATTTGTAAATGATTAGAGCGTAGCAAGGGACGACGAGAAGCGGAATTATTTTCTGTTCATGGAAGGGGCTTATACTGGCACTCATTCATTTACCAAAATTTAATAGTAGAATATGGTGTCATACAATATATATCATGTAGACTGGTAAAGACCAATATTCCATCTTGAAAAGGTAAATATCGTCTTTGCAAAGTTTGGACTAGTCATGTATGCCGTGCATGTGGCATTGGTCACACTCTCCAATTGATCAGGTTGTTTTATTGAAGCATCATTTACAAAAATCGAGAATTTCGTAGTCGAAAACAACTGGAATGCCTCTGACTGCTTTAAAAGGGTACACGCACGTGTCAGTGTATTGAGAGAAGGAGGTAATATAATAAAGAGTAAGAAAGATTTAGCCGATATGTAGACCTATCCTGCACGTTTAACCAGAAACACGTGGATCTAGATAACGCGTCCAGAATTGTGAGTAAAACAGTTACCCTGAAAAACAGATCAATGGTGCATTACTTACGTCACTCTCCGTACAACTGTGAAAAACAAACCTCACAGAAATGCATTTTCAGATAAATATCTGGTCTTATGTAAAAATTGTAATATAACAGTAATCGGAGGGTGAACCGCGAAACAAGGATATGTTCACAGTCACCGTTAGATCTATTTATCTCAGGGTAACAGACAGTGTTCTTGGAGGTTGAGGTCGTTGTCCCTTGTTCAGCTTGTTCCTGGAGGAGAGATCAAACCAGGTAGCACGCCGATTTGTGTTGAAGTAGAAATACGTACCAGGAACAGGATATGATAACGTTACTTTTATGTGTAAACTACAGGTGATGTATATCTACATATTGGTTGTGGGGTAGGCTACATACACTAGGATAACACGGCTGCAACGTATATTTCCTCTTTTTATTTTGATGTTCTGTTTTGTTTTTTTTCCCTCTGGTATGGTACATTAAATAGCTCTTTACACACCCATAGTAAAATGAGACCCGTTTTCTAGCCAAGCAGCACTGGATTTTATTCCGATTTTATGCAATTATCATTATCACGTGAATGCGACTAAAGAAAAATAAGATTTATCTCCTAATCATTTCATTTTACTCTTTAATGGGCCGTGTATCAAAAGTTACAAGTCATCAATCGTCTAAGTTTTTTCTTTAGTCGCATTAGCTATCTAGGTAGACAGCCTGTATCCATAAACTCAAAATATCCAATTTAAACTCATATGTCACACGTGCAAGTCTGGTTGATTTGTACATGTAGGTATCCCTTTTGGCGCACCAATACTCTCATTATGATACATAACGATTTCCCTTGGAAGGTAACAACTGAAACCATGTGTCAGCATTGCAAATTGGCAACACATGTTAAAAATGAAAACACACAAATTAATTAACCAAATCATTTTCTTAAAGATAAGAAGTCTTCACTATGCGGTGCGTACTTTCTCTTGATAATGGGTTAAGGTTATTGTGGGTGAAGTTTTTTTTTGCGAGCCTGCTGACAACTTAATTATCAGTGCACCTGTTTATCAAATTCTGATGCTAAAGGCTCATTCCCAAAGAAACTATCGTTCTACGTAGATCGTTCCAACTCCGAGGGGACTCTCGCTGAGTGCAATCAGATTAACACGCCTCCTCTTGTTTCCAACGTGCTCGTTTAATCGCCAGATTTTCTTTATTAATTCTACTCAACGCCAGAAGGAGGCGTGTTTATCTGTTAATCTTATTGCATTCAGCGAGAGTCCTCACGGAGTTGGGTCGATCTATCTAGTAGATAGTGTCATTGTGAACGCACACTTAGTTGCATTTAAGCCACGTGGGGTCAATGTTGACTCTCAAGGCGTCTGGCCACCAGCTCAACGCCCTGGCCGCCTGATACTAAGTAACCTCACTCCGACATTAAATAAAGCGCAAGGGATACAGACAAACCGTTTACTTCCGGGATTCAATTTAAAACCCGTTTTAGTTAGACCGATGGTGGGCCCAGCCTATGTGACACAAATTTCTTCCTACTGAGTTTAAGACAATTGGCCTGTAAAGCAAATTAGTACGGATAAATAAAATAATTACAGCAGTCTTTATAACATATAAATTTGACGGTATAGAAAGGTCGCTTGCTAGTTCCTCGACTATTACTAAGACAGTCCGACAACCTGAAAGTTCAGATATCGATGCCGATCAGTTGAACATAAGTCACTGACTATATAATACATTCAATAGCCTTAATAGTTTACATATGCTGAACTACGTGTTTACTTTAAGAGGCCAGCTGGTGCTCCATCAAAACACTAACTGACAATATGTAAACTGTAGTTTGGGGTGATATGATCCGAAAATCATCCGTATACACTTAAGACTGAGTGTTATTCTGCACTTTACCTTGCCAGTACCTACGTTAACACAGTCACCGTGCCCTCGTAGCCAATTAGATAAGTGCACAAAAATTTATTTAGGGAAACTCTTTTAGGTTACGTTCATCAACAGAACATACATCAAGAAGGGGGCGACAGAGGGGTTACTTGTACCCCAGGTTCTTAAGATTATCTTAGGCCGCATTCGCAAAAGCAGACTAACTAGTCCGCGGATCAAATATGGCGATCCACTTAAAAGTTTACCGTCTAATCCCCTATTAGACACTGAATAAGTTCCCCGTAAGGATTACGCAACAAGTATTCAAGTGAGTCGGCCATATTTGTTCCGCGGACTAGTTAGTCCGCTGTTGTGAATGTGGCCTAAGACTTATAAGATGCTGGCATATGCTGAGCAAAGAGCCCAAAGAGCACGTGGAATGTTTGACCATTCATGTTGATCTGCCCTGACCACCTATAGCTGAAACCTGTAGTAGCTAAAACCCTAGATCCGCAAACTTTGACATTGTCAGGCTTTTTTTTTTCAATATATGCAATCTTTTCAATTGATAACAGTTAACAATTTGTTGTGGTACATTGTACAAAGTACCTGTAGGCTAGGATCCAAAATATTTAATATTGGATCCTAGTTGTAGGTAGAGAAACCATGATAGTTAAAAGTAAATTAACTAAATTACGGCGATTCACATAATCTTAATTTAGATGTACATGTAATGCTCATGTGGTCTCAATTTCAAAGATGCATAAAGAGAGATTTAGCATATATTTGTATTAAATTATGAATACTCTCCACACAACATTGGGAATTACGTATTTCTTTTGTTTGCCCAGCTAACCAGGGGCAACAATAGGGATCTTCCCAACTTCAAGTTCTCGGTGTAACCTGGTACTGTTAGTACAGCGGATTTCTCAGCCCGCGGACAACAGTTAACACATGTTCTCACTACTTTATAGGTCATGGAGACCGCAGTGACGCGTTAAATGCATCACAGATAATAGTAACAATCTAAGTATAAATACTATTTCATTTGCATTTGAGGTATATCTTTTCAAATGTGACTGGCATCCACCGTGAAAACACGTATATGAATAATTACTTTTACCAAACAGTTGTAATTACAAAAATATCTGAAACAAATTAAAAGAAAATCTTAAAAGAAATGCGTATCTAGACAAGTGCAATACCGCCCTTGCCTTTGAGAGGGTTAAGTGTTGTGAGGATCGGGTCGTCGGCGTAATGGACATGACAGGGACGGGGGTGGGGAGTGGGAGTGTGTGGGGGGGGGGGGGGGAGATTAAAAGGGAATAGGGGACCGATCTTACTCTGCACTGCATATCTGCCACGCCATTTAACTAAGATTTGTGCCAAAAGAGACCCAAATCTCTGACACAGATATATACGTTTCCTAATGATAATATGATAGGAAAGATAATACGCCTGTCCATTATTCCTATGAGCGATGGCTATTTAAAACGCATGTCATTTTCGCAATTATTCAATTATAAAGAAGAAATGTATTCTTCTCTTATAATGAGAATATGACAAGGGAATGCAATATCAACCACATCATGTCTGTCAAATCATGGTTGTATAAAACACAAAAGAGACAGAAGAATCACGGGATTACAAGGCACCGATCCGGGTCTTATCGGCCCATTATTTTCTAGATTCTAGTGTATGCTATAGCTACGACCTGTTTTTAGGATAGTTGTGACGACTGGTTTAATCGCTATATATATTAAATATTACATCTGATCATTGGCGGTAGATCTGTACTGTTGTCGATCAGCTCACCTATATAAGCATACATGTATTCTATCAGTCTCTTACACTTTTAGTCGATCATCTCCACCGGTTTATCACATCCCAAGGCTTAAATTTTACGTCCTGTTTCGCATTAAAAATTGTATCCCGAAAATTGGTGTAATTTTCTGTAACAATATTTTTGTCTGCTTTGCCACAAGATAAATTGGTGGTAGTCCAATTGACTGAAATACCGTGCTTGTTTTATAACAGGAAATACCTGGCGAATGTTCCAGACAAATACTTTACGTAATAAACTGGACTGCGATGAATTTATCATGTACATAAAAGTTGAGCAAGCTAAGTTTGGGTTTAAAAGTTTAAATCAATTTTGGGGCTATAGCCTTTTTTGTGAAACCCACCCCTGGCCAGAAGAATTCTTTCAGCTATCACAACACTTCCCATTCAAAAAAGACCCCCAGTTTGGTTGACCTAAACCGATATCTGTCTGACTTAACGTGAAGATACATTAATCACATCCTCGTAGGGTCTGTGCGTGTTACCCCAAATAACACCAATAGGTCCTTGTCGTCTTTTCTGCCCACTGGGGCAATTAAAATGTTTAGAAATGTTAACTGTAGCTGCCTTCAAATCAGAACTATCTTAGATACGTAGATAGATGGTTCGCATGAAGGAAGTCGTCAAAAATACCGCGTTTCCCACTGTGTTACCTGGTTGTCATGTGAAGGGAGTCGGTCTACAGTTGTCTTGTCTAAACCCAGTTTTTCGTCTCTGAGCTTTAATCATTTACGAGGATCTTCAATCTCCGACATATCAATAAATGTAAAGTTTATACTTAATAATAGAGAAACCACAAGGTCTCTATCGTGCAGACAACAAGACCCATGCTTGTGGACCATATGCAACAAATGTGAATTAATTCAATAAAGCGTTCGCACCTGACCCACTGCCATCTAGAATAAAATGAAGAAAAAAATCCTCACCTGCAGTCGCCATCATGAATATAGGGGTGGTCGAGTAGGCTGACGAGGGCACTACATTCTTCGCCTTGTCAAGAAGGGGTCTCAAGTGATCCCCGATATCTCCCAGTCGGTCAGCAAACTCGCTTATCCCTGGGCGAACTTTCAAATTGTCAATGTAAGTGATATCTGGGGGGAGCTTGGAGAGATCGGACCGTTCGGCCCAACGGTATATACGCACTCGTGTCCCCGTGCTTCCAGCGTCTAGGACAAGTCCGTACTCCTCCCCCGCCCCTGCTGCAGAGCCAACGCTCAGGGCAGCGGTGACCAGTAGTGACAGTAGCAAGTGAACTCTCCCAAGGGCGTCAACCTCGTTCCAAATCTTCCCCAGCCGCCGGGACGACGCAGCCGCTGCTAATGGCAACATTCTGCGATCACCGCTACCTGAAGTGAGAGGGAGAGAGACGTCCGCGTTAATAACACAGCAGTGGTCTGTAACTGGGGCCTAGTATGTCAGTTTACTAACTAGTGTAAACAACGTTAGTGCACGGACGATCTGTAGAATGCTCACACCTGGAAAAGCTGGTCATTCGGTTAATTCTATATGATGTCACCAGTGTCTGTATTGTAGTGGCCCTTGCGTCCCCTGCCCAGTGGAAGGTCACCTCAATTAATTAAATCCAGGTGGGTTACTTGCACACAGTTGCATGACCGGTATTTGACGGGTCACTGCAAACGACAGTCACTGTCAAAAGGAATGATATTGAACCTCGAAATGTTTGCAAATGTTTACCCACCTCAAAGCCGTGGAATGTGCAGGTGATCTCCCGGCGGTTAACAGAGTATATTAAGTCCTCGGAAGTTTCGATATCGCCAGATTTGATTAATTTGATGAACCAATTGACTGCAAAACACATGCGCCAGTGACTTACGCGAGATTGATAAGACTTTCACAAAGCCAACGGGTCACGATCTTCGTGATTGCTGATGGTGAGGCATACCCGCGCGCAGAGCAACAAGCGATGTTTGTCTGGCGTCGTGGTTAAATACAGAGAACCGTGAGGTTTTAGCGATCGCTGATACTTTTATGTATCACGAAGCACTTGACTGTGACTGTAAATAACTTGGTCTTGCGGGGCATTGAATATGCATGAATTACAGGTATAAACTGAGCCGATCAAAGTGTAGTAATTTGATGCATGACTGTCTCTCTACAACAAAAAAGATAAAAAGATAATAATGTGAAGTAATATGACAAGCCAGTTTTTTCGTCACAGCTGTTTGCGTGTGTGTGTGTGTGTGGGGGGGGGTGCGTGCGTGCGTGCATGCGCATGTGTTTGTGCGTGAACTTGTGTATAGTCTAACTAAGATAACTCAATGCTCGCTGTCACGATTTTTAACCACTTCTGTAATGTTGACTTCATAAAAAACGAACTCATTCCGAAATAAGACACGCCACCCACTTAAAGCACTGAAAACACGCACAAGACTTGAGTGATAAAACAAACTTTACATTGTTAAAAAAAATTAACGGGTCACAGGTGCCGTATTGATTGTCAACACCATCGTGAAATACGTTGAAAATGTAACTCAATTTGTGTGCAGTCTATCCCACCTGAAATATCATGGGTGAATAAATTAAAATCACGAGGGAAACTCTAGAGGAATCTCTTTTTATCCAATTCAAATTACTCATACATCTAATGTGAAATGTGACGATCTCATATCAAATTAAATCAACTAACCTTAGTAAAATCCTGGATTCGCCAGTGACATAACACAAAAACTTAGAGCCTTAAATTTAAGACATTTTTATGTAAAATAAAATCTGCCTACTCGGAAACCTTTGCTTTGCTGTTTCAGCCCTCCGCTTTAATGAAACAAAGAATTAGCCCATTGTCCTTATTCCATATGAAAAAGAAGAAAAAAAAGTGTCCAATAATGTCCACATATCCCAAAGCCTTTATTCACTCGAACGGATAGAAGTAATTATAGACCGCAATCATCACTTTTGGCAAGTAAAACCAAAGTCCTATTGAGCTATGTATGTTTTCACTACATTACACACGTCGTACTCATATTTCATATGATAATCCATATTATAGTGTTGACTCGTCCCTACATGAGTGTCAAATGACGTCTTATGTGTCTTTATATAATTTATGATGCCATAGATTGCTGTGCGTGTTGCTAGCCTGGATTAAACATGCAGATCTATATATACTACCCTTTACTACACTGACCACAGGAATCGCTAATAGTCTCCTACAAATAAGACCAATGGATCAATCTCTCATTCTAATTTGTATATTGTACTATAGTGTAGCTTATCAGAGGGTATCGCTCTATCAGGGCCACAGAGAGATTTTTCACTACACATTCACAGATATTTTTTCTGGCTAACTCTGTGGACATTCCTGTACTGTGATAATTTTTGGATATATATATATATATATTTTTTTTTTTGCAAAGGATTTTAGAAATGACGCTATATATCACACAGTTGGCCTTTGAGAGAGTCAGCCGAGTGTGAGACAGATCTAGGATATTTGAAAATGCTGTCTGTGTTGTGGGAGAGGAAAGGGGGAGGGTGAGAGGGGGTGCACAGGGGTAAAAAAAAAAACTTTTGACTAGTTTAGCTTGGTACATCTTCTTTCACAAGAAACAGATCACCTAGACAGCATGTACGTGTTTTTAATCAGTTCACCCCAGTAAAGGCAACGGGGTCCATGTTGCGTTTTTTTTTTTTGTTTTTTTTTAATCAGTTTATAGCAACAATCGCGGCATCCACTTCCCGTTAGTGGTATCGTACAATTCGTAAACCACGTAGACTTCTGCTGGGCTGGTGACCACGACCGATTAAGTCCGGAGTAGATCGTTACGAGCTCCGTGCTACTTTTTTGTGTTTGGACGCCCATGTAAATTCCGTTCACGTCGTGATCCGGTAGACTGACACGGGTAAAAAGGGTTAGATAATCCAGATGTTCTGTACAAATAACGGAGCTAGTTTTTCTCTTGTCAGTTCTTTTCTGAACCAGCGAAATTGAATCCCCGGCACATCAAATGCCTACATATGCTTGTATAATTCACCAAAGCCCGACATGATCCGTTGGATTCATTAGCCATTGTCATTAGGCTACTGTCATTGTTAGCTTGTAAAGACTCTACCGCACACGAGTTCACCTGTAGAAAGATTTTAATGAGGGTGATAAAAGATAGGGAAGGTAGAGGTTCTTAAGAAATATTGTCTCCTTTTTAACCCACTTGGATGCTCTTTATTAAGAGGAATTTATAGGCTGCATTGATAATCAAGTCCTGTTATGCTCAAGTGCTGTTAGTAAGAAGGGTGGAATAATTATATGTTATGTATTGTTGAATTCATAATTGGTATCTTGAAGGAATATTTATATATTTAAGGAAAACATGCATGGGAAAGCTAAACAAAGGCTCATACACGACTCAACAATATCGCATATGTCGATTTTTTTTTTTTTTTTTTTTTTTTTTTTTTTTTTTCCAATTATTTCTGTTGGGCTGATGATACACAACTATTGAAAAGCTTCCAAATAAATAATATACCAAAATTCATATACTTTAATTTGATTCAAAGAAATCAACTTTGTCTACTTACCTTGAGTAATGATACCCATGCATCTAATTAGAGGTATTATCTCAGATACGAGTTAAATCACAAATGTTTGGAATCAACTTTCTTCGTCAGATTACGTGCATTTTGGTATATCTTTGGTAAATAGTGATATATTGGCAAGAACCTGGTCTTTCTTATTTTTGGTCGAGTTGATGACATTGCAGATAACAATGTGTAGTTTACGCAAAAATGTCGCAGAGCAGGCAACCGTGGATAAAAATGCAAGTCATTGAAGACCTAACAAAATTGCCGTATCATTTGGGCAAAAAAATCCCTCCTCTTTACACAGCTGTTATATCACTATGCAGACCACCAAAGTTGATGGTAAAACTTTATAATACGATACACTATATGATATTTCTTACAGACAGTTAGTCTAATACTCTCTTGACTTCAAAGAGCATTAGCGTTGACTACCTACAAAAGTCGATCTATTGAAAAAAATCATGTTTTAAGTGTGTTCCGTGCACGTAAGTTAACGTGTGCTTTAAAACATCTACGTCTATGAAGGACGTGAAAATAAGTATCACCTCCTAATAAAAACGAATGTCAGAACTGATCAAAAGAGAGGATTTGAAAAGTTTTATATATAATATCCATTTTATGTGTTTTATTGATAAGTAATAATTTTAAAGAACTTTTATGAATTTTAAACGCAGCAGTTCAGGTTTTAGTCTCTGATAGGGTGGGTTTTATTTTCAAAACGTGAGACGTTAATATAATTATTTTTAATTAATAGTCTATCATGTCGAATTCACCCCGAGTTTAGCAGATTATTATTATACACGGCAAAGGCAATCTGATAACGGAGGTGATCAGCTTCTAGTAGCCCCAGAAACTCAGGGTGAACCAATGTGGAAGACCCATAAAAAATTTACGGTAAGATCTCGAAACATAGAATCTGTGTAAACAGCGGTGGTTACAAGGAAGTGAGGTCACTCTGGTAGAGGTGCGTGCTTGGAGATAGAACAAACTTTATTCAGGATTAGGTCAACGTAACACACCGCAAGAAATAACACAAAACCTGAACATGGGTGTAAACTTTCATACCAACACTTTGGTCTTATGCGGTTCAAGATAAATCCGTATCATTTCGCTTAAACAATATAAACTAACGATCTAAACTTAAACGTTTTTTTTTTCTTTTTTTTTTTTGTACAAAAGGTGCACTACTCCATTTAATGGGACTTTTATCATGTGTGAAAGTATACTATAATGCTGGTCTAAAAGTTATGACCAACTTTCGGGCTAAACTTCGTTTGTGAAAACGGTTCCAGATTTTCTTTGCCAGAGACACGCACAAATGCTGTATGTGGTTTATCTGAAGTAAGCACCTCAGGTGCACTACCTTACAGACGGTTTTACTTATCCGACAAAGGTTGGTGAAAAAACAAGATTTTGGTCACATATATCGGTCATGTGTAGCTACTTACACTGAAAAGAAAACTTCTTGAGCATATTAAGAGCAGAACCAAGATTGCACATTGACGTTGGCCACTTTATACCTAGGATAGAAGACTATACATATACATGTATATCGGGTCCTAGCTTATACACACAATTAGTGCAGGCGCGAAGAAAGCTGGAAGTGTGTGTGTGTGTGTATTGGAAGTGGAGGGGGTGAGTTGGGGGTAACCCCTCATAACAAAATTAACGTCCAGGTGAGGAGCGCTCCCCTTACCCCCACTCCAAAGATTTTTTAACCGGGGGGGGGG